TTGTACCTTATCCGCATGAGGATTCTCAGGTCGCACCTCGACGCCATGGAGGCCGAGAAGACGCTGCAGCCGACCCCGCTGAACGGTCGGCACCCGAGGCGAGGAGCCCGGGGACGGAGGGAAGCGGTGGAGCTCGGTGGGCCTGCTGCTGCTGCTGCTGCCGCCCCCCGCCCCCTCCCCCGCTTCCGAGTCAGAATATTCTGTCGGCCTTTGAGACGAGCCATGCTCTGTCGGAGTGTGGTAGGCGCTGTCTGCGGTGCCGTGGGTCCGCGTCGGCTGCGCGCGTCTCGGTTTGGCGTAAGTCTCCGTGTTTCAGGTTAGTTGCCCTTGATAGCTCCCTTCGTGCACTTCCTGAGGGGGCCACCATTCACATTGCTGGGGGGTTTGTGGACCCCTCCCATTGTATGAGGTTTCACGACGATTTGAAGATTTGGTTTTGTGCGAGTTGTGGGATGTATGGGGACCAGCAGCTTTGCGGCCTTGGGAAGGTTTGTGTCCCCCGCCCCACCGCGACGAGGAGTGAATATCTTCGTTTGATTAGGTTGGGGCAATGGCCCAAAGTCTACAGTAAAGCGGAATTAGCTCGTAAAGCCCTGAAGAGGTGTAGGTGATGAGTGGAAGGACTACGTCCAGGGACTCCAACTCCAACTCCAACTCCTCCTCCTCCTCCTCCTCCTCCTCCTCCTCCTCCTCCTCCTCCTCCTCCTCCTCCTCCTCCTCCTCCTCCTCCCTCCTCCCTCCCCATCCTCCTCCTCCTTCCCTCTGCTTTCGGCCTCCTCCTCCTCCTCCTCCCCCTCCTCCTCCTCCTCCTCCTCCTCCTCCTCGTCCTCCTCCTCCCCCTCCTCCTCCTCCTCCTCCTCCTGCTTTCGGCATCTGGGGGGCCTCGCCGTGCCCCGGGGCCGTCCAAGATCGACCCGTGACGGAATGGCCCTTCCGGGGGAAGAGGTCCGGGCCTCCGGGGCCCACGCGTCGAACAACTTGGGGCAGCCGGCTGTCTGTTGGCGGCCTTCTGAGAAGCTCTCTGTGTCTTCGGGGAACGCTTAGAAAACTTCTCAGAGGGCCCGGGGACTTCCGAGCCTCCTGAGAGGGCAGGGGGAGGAGGAGGGGGAGGAGGAGGAGGAGGAGGAGGAGGAGGAAGAGGGAGGAGGAAGGAGGGAGGAAGGCTTCGGAGGCCTCCCGTGTTTTTCCCGTGGATCTCACACAGCGCCCCTTCTGACTTCCCCCCCTCGCTCGCCGCCGAGTCTGGGGCAGCGCAGGTCCCCTGAAGGGGGAGCGGGTCCCTGGGGGCAAGCGGGTGCAGGCCCTGGACGGGGGGGACTCTCCCCGGGGGAGGGGCTCCGCATGTCCCTGCGCTGCAGCTGGACGCCCCCCCCCCCCCGAGCACCGCGGGGGGGCCTTCCCTCCCCCTGACAGAGGGGGGCCGAGGGCAGGCAGCTGGCCACACAGAACAAGGGGCAGGAGCCCTGACAGCGGCGGGGCTTCCCTTGGAGCAGGAGGCCTCCACGAAGGACCGCCTGGGGCTGACATGCTGCACGGCCGCCGAGACCGTGGACGCCGTGTATCCGATTCGCAGCGTGGGCCGCCCAGAGATTAGAACACTTCCCTGTGTGGGGGGGGGGCCTTTCGCCCTGACGTTGTTCTCTCTCTCTCTCTCTCTCTCTCTCTCTCCGAGTAGGGGACCGACTACAGAATTGATTTGCCCCCGAATTGGTTTGTCTTGTCAAATCCACGGGCAATTCGTAGAACTTTCGCAGATCTACCAATGGCTGACGTATTTTTGTTGACGAGTCGACGTGGAAATCAATTTTGGGGTAAACCAACTCTGTAGTCGATCCCCCAGTCGATCTTTCGGTCCTGGGGGCAAGAGGGCCCCCCCCCCCCCCGCGAGCCTCCCGCCGAGGACTGCGTGCGAGCGGACGGTCGCCGTGCCGCCAGAGGAGACGCACGAGAAGAATCGGAGGGAGGCTCTCCTTGCCAAGGCGAGCCGCGTCCACGGCTGGGTTCCCCCGGAGCTGGATCTGCGGACCGGCCCGAACCCGATGACCATGAGTTGGAAGGGAGAAGGAGGAGGAGGAGGAGGAGGAGGAGGAGGAGGAGGAGGAGGACAAGGAGGAGGAGGACAAAGAGGAGGAGGAGGAGGTGGAGGAGGTGGATGAGGAAGACTCCCTCCCCCTCCAACTTATGGTGGTGGTGGAAAACAGCCCATCAGAACACCAGAGGCTCTCGAGCACCAAAGTGGTCCTCAGATCCGCGTCTCGACTGCAGGGGCCCCTGCGACCACACGCGACGACGTGCAGAGAACTGATCCCGAGGGAAAGGGGCCTGGACCACCAGGAACTTCCCACAGGACCGCTCCTTCCTCCTGCGCCGTCTTTGGCCGCGTCTGGGCCCAAAGACGAAGGCCCAAAGGCCATCAATGTCGAAACATAGTCTGCCGATGTCTTTGTCACGACGCGGGGTTGTCTGAAGGACGACGAGGCGGAGAATGAGAGGGCAGGGATGAGAAAGGAGGAGGGAAGGAGGAGGAGGAGGAGGATGAGGTCGCCGCCCTGCGCCCCAGGACCCAGACCACGGCGAAAAACCGCAGGGCACCTTTCCCTCAGGACCCCACGCGACGTCCTCTACCAGGCCTCCCACGGGGGCTCCGAGCGGGTGGGGTCGGAGGACCGCGCCGCATCGCCGATGTATCGTCGACGTCAGGGCTGAGAAATTCAGACCCCAGATCTGACTACCTACCAAACCACCCCAACCCAACCGAAGACCCGAATTTCGGGTTGGGGGGGGGTACGAGCTTCATGTGTGTTTTCTCAACGTTCCCCGACCCCCCCCCCAACTGGAAATGGAGGGCAAATTGGGGTCTTCGGGTTGGGTTGGGGTGGTTTGGTGGGCGGTGAAGATCGCGCTGCATCGCCGAGGCATCGGCGACGTCAGCGCTGAGAAATGCGGACCCCAGATCGCGCCGCACCGCCGCTGCAGCGGCGGTGCTCTGCGATCCAGGATCGCAGAGCACCGGGCTCGGAGGATTCCTCCGAGCCCATCTGCTCCAGCCCTATGTTCGGCGGAGGCAGACATGGAGGAAAACCCAGATGATAGCAGCATGGGGGACAGGGGCCCTGAGGGAAACGGGTCCTGAACCCTGGTGCCTTCCCCCACGACGAGCGGTTCACCCTGCATCATGTTCTGACAGCCCCGGGGCTCGTGGAGGGGCCCGAGAACCCGAAAACGGCGGAAACCACCCTGGCGACGCGGGCGGGCATCGCGCGCATCCGCCAGGGAACCTCGTCGAAGCCGTGAACGGTCGGAGCCCCTGGACACGTGCGAACTGCTCCCCCCCCTGGACTCTCGGCCCCTACGTCGGGGCGCCCGGACATTGCGCGACGATCATGCACGGGTCCTGCGCGAGATGGCATGTCGGGTCGGGCGAAAGGGGGGGATAGCAAAGGGGGGGTTTGAGAATCAGCTCACGTAGCTGACTTTCCCGGCGCCTCCCGGCGCCGGAGGCGGCTATGTATCGAGGAAGGGGCCCCTCGGTGAGGCCGAAACCAGCTGCATGCAGCAAATTTCGTAACCCCCCCTTTCCCAATCCCCCCCTTTCGCCCGGCCCGAGCATGGCGGCGTGCGCCGCAGCTTGCGCGGGCCGCCAGCGCGGCACGCCACACCGGCAACGGGGAGGCCGACGCGCGACCTCGCGAGGGCCGCTGACGCGCACCTGTCGGCGCCAACGACTGACTACCTACCAGACCACCCCAACCCAACCCGAAGGCCCGAATTCGACCCGAATTTCGGGTTGGGGGGGGTACGGATCCCATGTGTTTTTTCGATGTTCCCCGACCCCCCCCCACTGGAAATCGAGGATAAATTTGGGCCCTTCGGGTTGGGTTGGGGTGGTTTGGTGGGTGGTGAACGACCCCGACTTGTGTCGCTGCGCGCATGGGTGCGGGAACCACTGCACGGCGCACAGCAGCAGCCGGTGTCCAAAGCCGACAGCGGCTGGCGACGAGGGCCTCCCAGGGGGCCCAAAACGAGGAAAGCGAGGGAAGGGTATGGGTATGGGCACCTCCTCCTCTGAATTATAGCGCTCCCCCAGCGGTGTGGCCAGAAGGCGCCCGCCGCCGAGCGTATGCTCGGAGATTGCCGAGCGCGCGCGCACACATCATGAGTAGTATGCTCGGGCGGAGCTGCTGTGTGCCTCGCGTGGACGACGTCCGCGGCGACCCCGACAGCCAGCCTCGAAGAAGCCACTTGACACGGCGGCTCCCCCGCCCGGCCGCCAAACCTCCTCGACATCGGCACCCGGACCCGTCCCGGGAGACCCGTCCGCACAGCTTCCCGATGCAGATCCGGCCGTGGCGGAGAGAAGCAGGGCTGAATTAACCTACGCGGTGTTTTTCGTTCTCGTTCTGTTTCCGTTTCCCCTTGTTTTGTCTTCAGTCCGCCCTCACACTGCAAAGCGCAATCGAAACGAAAACGGCCCACGACATCGCCAAAAAACACCGCTTGGGTCCAGCCCTGGAAAGAAGCCTCCAGGAGACCCGCGGATTGAGCACACAGAGGGCGGAAAACGCAGAAGGACGGCCGCCGCTAATTATCTCGCCCGGCCCTTCTCCGAGAGGGCTGGGCGGATCCGGCTCACAGATCCGCATCCACGGCCTCGCGAGCGGGGCCCCTGGGCCGCGGCCCCGCGGATACGGATGCCCTGCGCGGAGCGCATCCGTGTGGCCGCGCATCCACGCGGTCGCGCCCCCAGAATCAAACCCGAGAGGGCGCGGATACGGGCATGTTCGCCGATCTCGAGGTTCGCGCCAGCGCGAGGCCGAGTAATGGGGTTCCGTCGCCCCCGCCCCGGCATCGACATCCGAGAGGCGGAGACCGCAGCGTGGGGCACGACATCTGCCCTTGCCAAGGCACCGTGCGCCACGACTCGGCGAACTGCTCCACATGCCCACTGCTGCTGCCGCCGACCCCCTGCTCCGCCCGGTCAGCCCAGCGCACTGGAGTGCCTGCAACAGGGCCCTGTTGAGGTCGCGGTTCCCGGAGCTCAGGGCCGCGACCTCAGGGCAAGGTGATGGGCCATCTGCGCTCAACCGCCCCCCGATCTACAGCAAGGAAGGCTACGCTTGTGGATGCCATGACAATGGGCACCCGAACAGTCCTATCAGTGCTATAGATGTGATTAAATGCAAGTTAAAGACATGTGTAAAACATGTTGTATAAACATCTGGAACTATTTGGCGACATGTATCCTCTCCATTGGCGGTCGTTCCCAAGATGATGCACATGCACCACCGACCGTGGCCATGCCCACCCAGTTCCAGGATCGGCCAAGGAAGCAAGTGCCCGATCCTGGGCCTAAGATGGGCCTGGACAGGACCGGTGACTGCGCATAGCTTGGTTGGCCCGATTACTCGCCCGAGTTAGGTCGACTAGGCGTCGTCACCCTGCGTCCGACCGACCTCGTCCCCCCCTCCTCATTTCAGGAGGCAATTCCTGTGAAGTCTTCGTGGGGACGCCGAGCTCTATGAGAGTCTCTTTACTCGTGGCCAGAACGGGCGTAGTGGGAGTAGAGGGAGGGTCATTCGAGACTTTCCCACAACCTGGGCGCGAACGGACGGAGATAACACCCCCTGGCGGTTCCCCGCCCAGGGGTGTTCACGTAGCATAATGGTTACATCGCGGCAACCACGAGCGAGTCTGAACATGAAAGGCGAGCAGGGGTGGGTTCGGGTAGAACTTACAAATTGCAGCAAATGGTTTGAATGTGAACGTGAGGATGAGCGAGCCTAGATGGGCGCGACGAATCAGAATCTGACTAATGTGAGAGAAAGACAGAAAGAACACAAGAGAGGGAGAGAGGCTGAGATGACTTGGGGGCTTGGCGTAGTTTGGCGTGGATAGCGGCGCGCTGGCCTCCGATACCTATACGATCACCATTTCGGGTGATAAGGAGATTCGGGGGGGGGGAAGAACCAACGTCACACTCGATAGGTCTCACTATCGATATCACGATCGATATCACAATCGGTTTCGCTCGATCAATACCACCCGATGCATCTCACAATCGATCACACTCGATCTATTTCATTCGAACGATTTCACAATCGATCTGACGATCGATATCACAATCGACCCCACGGTCGATCTCACGATCGACCGCACAATCGATCACACATTCGGTATCACGATCGATTTCAGTATCGATATCACAATCGATATCGCCATAAACGTCATCACCATCCGAATCAACATCATCGTCATTGAAGTCACCAACATCAGCATCATCACCATCAGCATCGGGACACCATCATCATCATCACCTCATCACCGCCATCACCAAGATCATCATCATCATCAGCATTACAATCTTCCTCGGGACACCATCATCGCCACCATCAGCATCACCAACATCATCATCAACGGGACTCCATCATCATCGAAAAACATCATCATCATCAGTAGCATCATCATCATCAGCGCACCATCATCCTGAAATTAATCATCAACCTCATCATCATCATCAGCATCGTCATCAGGACACCATCATCACCAGCGGCAATATCACTGTCATCAACATCATCATCATCGGGACACCAACATCCTCGCCACCATCATCATCACCATCACCATCATCACCATGATGACACCATCGGCATCATCAGCATCAGCATCATCATCACCACCACCGGGCCACAATCATCAAAATCAGCATCATCATCTCATCACCAACCTCATCATCCACATAATCAGCAAAACACCATCATCGTCATCATCATCAACATCATCAACAGCATCATCATCATCAACCTCATAATCATCATCATGACATCATCTCACCAACCTCAACCGGGGCACCATCATCATCATCATCATCAACCTCAACCGGGGCACCATCATCATGACATCATCTCACCACCATCTCACCGTCAAAATCATCAGAATCATCAACATCATCATGATCATCATCTGGACATCATCATCATCATCGTCAACGTCCTCATCATCACCATCGGGGCATCGTAATCATCACCGCCATCACCACCATCGTCCTCGTTATCAACATCATCGACATCATCATCATCATTATCGTGACACCGACGGGACACCGGCGGGACACCGCGCGCCGCCGGCCCCCGGTCAGGAAACATTTGGTCCAGCCGCGCCTCAGCCGGAGGCGGGGCACCGGCGGGGCACCGCGCCCCACGGGCCCCCGGTCAGGAAACATTTGGTCCGGCCGCGCCTCAGACGGAGGAGACTCTCTTCTCGCCCACCCACGCAACTTCGCCTCGCCCGCGCGCGCGGCGCGCACGAACACGCAACCGGAACAGATTTCCCGGTAGGGGGGCTCTCCGGTCCACTTCGATCTCACCCCCTTCACCGCCAATTCTACTTGACGAGATTTGTAGCGGACAATCTTGGAAATGCGCAGCCCAACTTGCCAAGCGCGCCGCGAGCGCGCCGCGCGGCTGCACGCTGGCGCCATCGCCCTCCGAATCTTTCGTCGCGACGACGACGGGGCAGTCGACGTCTGCGGCGCTCACCAAGAAGCCGCTGAGAACAGCCCTGCAAAAGCCAGTCGTGCACAAACCTGTCATGCCAGAGGTCTTGGACTTGGAAACTCCCCCACGAAGGTTGGGCTGGGTCAATTCTGGCAAACGAGTCCGCCTGAGAATCTCCAAAAGGTGATCTGGGATCTCCAAAAAATCTTCCCGCGAATCCTCAACCAATGTTGAATCGGAAATAACATTTCCAAGAAATCTTCGCGTGTTGGAATCTCAAACGGAATCTCCAAAAAATCTTCGCCTCTTGAAATCTTCAGCGAGATCTCGGGTAAATCGCCAACAAATCTTGCCCAAGGAAGCCCGCCAACAACAAACCGATCATAACCGCACAAAAACAATGTTAATTCGGCATGGAACTGACTGCGCCCGGGGCCGTGGCGCGGAAGATCGCCAGAATGCTGCTGTCCGCAATGCAACGCTGGAGGTGTCGCGGTGAAATCGAGCGCGGCCAACGCAATTGTGAGCCCACGGCCCGTCCGTTGGCGACTGCTGCAAAGCTGTAATTGAGTGGTAAGCTCCCCATCGTAAATGAGCCTTCTAATGGCATTCCGAACGAGGTGAACTCGGGGGGCCCTCAGTGGGCGCCCCGCTACTCGAACCAGGGGACGATAGCCGAACAAGCGAAGGCTGCACCCATGCGGTTCGGGCACAGATTGCTTGAACCAAGATGGCAAAACAAGAGGAGGAATAAGAGGGGAAGGGATGGAAAAAACACGGAGGAAGAGGAGGAGGAGGAGAAGGAGTTCCCCACGCCCGCAAAACGTACGAACCCAGGACACATCTGCTCGTCACCGTTTCTGACAACCGAGAGCAATGCGTATCAGAGATGTGCGTTGACTGGCAGACAGACGACGACATGCAGATGGTGGAAAAGCTAGGAACAGTTCCGGCATCCACGCAAAGAGGAGAACTTCAAAATGGTGTCTGGTATCCCGGTGTCCTCAGCAACTCTCGCAAAGCGTAGCCGGCGGGGAGACCAATTCCGAATCTTGCGGCCCACGCTTATTCCACCCTGGGGCGGACCGGCCCGATGCGGATATGAATTGGCTTTCCGTCCGAAGCGCCCTTGGGAAGTCCAACAGCTATCGGGTGCCACGGCAACGAGAAACTGGACTTACCAAGTGACGCATGCGGGCGGCAGCGCTGGGGCCTTCGGTAGAGCTTCCTATGGGGCCACGAAACGTGTGAGGGGTGTGCCGAATTGGGTGTGCGTGACGCATGCGGGCGGCAGCGCTGGGGCCTTCGGCGGAGCTCCCTATGGGGCCACGAAGCGTGTGAGGGGTGTGCCGAATTGGGTGTGCGTGACGCATGCGGGCGGCAGCCCTGGGGCCTTCGGCGGAGCTTCCTATGGGGCCACGAAACGTGTGAGGGGTGTGCCGAAATGGGTGTGCGTGACGCATGCGGGCGGCAGCACTGGGGCCTTCGGCGGAGCTCCCTATGGGGCCACGAAACGTGTGAGGGGTGTGCCGAATTGGGTGTGCGGGACGCATGCGGGCGGCAGCACTGGGGCCTTCGGCGGAGCTCCCTATGGGGCCACGAAACGTGTGAGGGGTGTGCCGAATTGGGTGTGCGTGACGCATGCGGGCGGCAGCGCTGGGGCCTTCGGCGGAGCTCCCTATGGGGCCACGAAACGTGTGAGGGGTGTGCCGAATTGGGTGTGCGTGACGCATGCGGGCGGCAGCACTGGGGCCTTCGGCGGAGCCCCCTACGGGGCCACGAACGTGTGAGGGGTGTGCCGAATTGGGTGTGCGTGACGCATGCGGGCGGCAGCGCTGGGGCCTTCGGCGGAGCTCCCTAGGGGCCACGAAACGTGTGAGGGGTGTGCCAATTGGGTGTGCGTGACGCATGCGGGCGGCGCGCTGGGGCCTTCGGCGGAGCTCCCTATGGGGCCACGAAACGTGTGAGGGGTGTGCCGAATTGGGTGTGCGTGACGCATGCGGGCGGCAACACGGGGGCCTTCGGCGGAGCTCCCTATGGGGCCACGAAACATGTGCGGGGTGTGCCGAATTGGGTGTGCGTGACGCTTGCGGGCGGCAGCACTGGGGCCTTCGGCGGAGCCCCCTTATGGGGCCACGAAACGTGTGAAGGGTGTGCCGAATTGGGTGTGCGTGAGGCATGCGGGCGGCAGCACTGGGGTCTTCGGCGGAGCTCCCTATGGGGCCACAAAACGTGTGCGGGGTGTGCCGAATTGGGTGTGCGTGACGCATGCGGGCGGCAGCACTGGGGCCTTCGGCGGAGCTCCCTATGGGGCCACGAAACGTGTGAGGGGTGTGCCGAATTGGGTGTGCGTGACGCATGCGGGCGGCAGCACTGGGGCCTTCGGTGGAGCTCCCTATAGGGCCACGAAACGTGTGAGGGGTGTGCCGAATTGGGTGTGCGTGACGCATGCAGGCGGCAGCAAGGAGGAGGCAGCGGGAGGAAGGGAGGAAGGAAGGAGAACGCGGGGCACCGTCTTTTCAAAACGAGGACCCAACACCACAGGATGGTTGGAAACA